AATAATATATATATATATAGGTACATGGGTAGTATATATATATATATATATAGATAGATATAGATATAGATATAGATATATAGATATAGATATAGATATATATGTGTGTGTAAGTATGTATATGTATATGTAAATGTATAATATGTGATAAGAATATTTGCTTAAAGACAGTGCCTAGAGGCCTTTATACATATGACCAGTGTGCATATAAACCAGTGTGCATATAATTTAAACCCCACCTTAAAAGAGATAAAAAAATCAAATTCAAAGTTCACTGGTTTCAAGCTTTCTTTTGGCTAAACTTGGGTAGATTGGCCTGTATTGAACATATGCGGAGTAATATAACGTTGGTGAAAAAAATGACGAATGTAAGTTTTGAGTGAACCCAGCGGAAAGCTTCTGAGTTTCCTTTCACTCGTGCAAACTTCGGCCATCCGTAGCACGATTACTGACGTTTTATTAGCTTTTCAGTCAGATCCTTAAGGATGACCAATTCCTCGCCAGCCGGAGTCCCGTGAGCGCGCCACCTTATTCGCCCTCTCCCATCCACAAGATATGCGTAGCCAAAAAGCGGATTGCTGATGTCCAACTGCTCCACAATTACATCTGTATTCGCATTACTGACCAAACATTTATCCTGTGGCGAGTTTTAAAAGCAACAAAATTAGAGTCACATTGCATACAGCATTGCCCTGTCAGACATACACAACTGGACCTCATGCTATACACATGCGTCGGTGTGTATCATTCAGGCTTTGAGAAAATAGTGTCCAATTCTACGTGTCATGACTTGTACATATTTTGCATACGTGGCACTGGTGTGCATCATGGTATGCTACTAAACTGATAGTACAACTCTAGTCTGCAACTGCCGTATTACGCATCGACCCGATAACTGAAAATTTCAATCTTACAAGCACCACAGTGGTCACATACCTGACGGTCAAGGTCAGAGATGACCTTTTTTAGGTTTGAAATCATCAGGAATGATAGATACCGAAAAAGCAGCCGTTCAATTAATGATACCTGCAAAATCAAACCCCGTGAACGAAACTTAATCGATGTCAAGTGTATACAGTATATGGAACCTCAGGGCTAGCATGCTAGAATATGAAGATCATAAGAGGGCAATTGGACTCGGTATGTTTACTTCGCTCGAAATTTGGATTGAAAACCCATACCTCGATAACTTGGGTGGCAGAATGAGAAGCGAAGTTTTCTTCGAAATAGGTCCGGTAAAGTTCCAACTGCGGCTGTAATTGAAAATAAGTCAATCAGAAAAGTCAGTGAAAGGCAGATGAGGAAATCATTGTATTCTCTGTTACAGAATGTGTTGTATATGCGCTTACGAATGAAATTTCATACCCGTGCTATGTCTCTCACTGCCACCAAAACAAGCGAAATTTTGTTGTCCAGTTCAGGCTGTAATGATGCCAGCTTCCGGCCTGAGAGTGTATCGCCGGATATGGTTGGTAGAGCTTTGCTCTCTTTGGCGTCCGTTAAATCGCTGGCAGCCATCCATAATTTATTGCCCTTTTTCTTAAGCTCATGATATTCTAGAGAAATACAGTGGTTGGTAGATAGGGGCGGGAATATATGAATGCAAACTGATCCGTATGCGAGATAAGGTATTTGTGGCAATTAATTGCGCACTCCCAGGTTGCCATCCGTGCTCAAAGCACTTCGCATCATATAAGGATACTTTAGGTGATGATCTCTAGTCTCAATTTTCTCTATTCGATTGTAGGGGCATTCTTGATAAAGAAAAAGACTAAACTACAGTGTCATAAGACTACGCTACAGTGTGTCATAATACGTAGAAACAAGATAAGTACGTCGCATTCGCGAAATCTACCAACGTATTGCGATCACCATTTTTTTTTCATATTCAGAACAGGCATTATTGTTGTTCCACAACACCTTAATAGTATTGTTTTTCTCCTACCTTCTACGTGACCGAAATATCCTCTACCGATCTCCTCAGCACTATAGCGAACGGAAATTGCGGGCAAGTGGGGTTAATATTTTCGCAGGATTTTAAGAACAACGTATGAACAATGTATGCCATTGCTTGTTGTATTCAAGATGGTCACAATCCGCATCTTATCATGAAGTCGATGCGCGCGACTTCGCTCTTGTCAGTATGCAATATCTAAATCAGCTGACCAATGCGAAACGGCAAGGAGAAGTGACGACGCGGTTACGCAGCGATATATACGCAATTCTGTCATAATCGTCACAAAGAGCATCATAAATTCTCATTCAAATGTATATAATAATAATAATCCAAGCTATATACATATAC